GGGAGGCGGGGCTTTTCAAGGATGAAATTAGATGATACGGAAAAGAGCTGCGGAACAGAGAGTGCGTCATTGAGACAGCCAATCACAGCTATTTCGTACGATTGTATTCTGCAAGTCTTGTTCCCTCAGTTCACATAATACGGAATAAGGAATCCAATGACACATCTGCGAAAAATAAAACTTAAGAAAACGAACATTTTTATAATTGTAGTGCTTTTAAAATAACATATAATGTTATAAATTATAAAAAAGTTTATCTGCGTATAGTAATTCACTGAGCGGCGCTATCCGATTAATGTTAAAAAAATTTATTAAAAATATTTTTTTCCTTAAAAGCAATAGTACCTTATGAGTGACGTGGAAATCTATTGAAATATTTCCACATAATAAATTTAAAATAAAAAGTATTTTAATAAATTTTTAACTTTTAATGATCAAGGGAGAAGAACCCAACATTTATCGGATAGTGCCGCTCCTAACGCTCGGCGGCGCTGGTCCTAACGGCTGCCGCGCGCGCGGTAAAGAGAGGAAAGGAGGCGTATACCACAAGAATCGGCCAAAAAGATGAAATAATTCCGAGCTTTGGTCTAATGGTTGGTTACAACAGACCCTTTTCAATTATCAGCCCATAGCTTAAATGTGTTTCATTAACTAAGGAAAACCTAGCACTACGTTGCCCCTAGCACTGCTTACGCCAAGACTACAAACTAAACACTTCTCTCTTATTTTGCCCTAATTAATTGTTGTGAACCACCGCTAGAAAACTCTTGACATGCACTTTACACATCATTTTTTAGAATTTAATTATTCCAATTAGTGCCGAAGTTACACCATATTTTGTAAAGTTCAAAATTTTAAAACCTTCTATAATAAAAAAATTCGGGGAAATTTGAAAAAAATGCCAAGAATAAAAAAGTCTTGTATTTTTACGTAAAATTTTAATTCTAAGTCAAAACATATCCTTCCCATTTAAAAATACCGAGATAGGAATAGCACCCCTCCCCTTCCAAATACCCCCAAGAAGTAATTTTTAGAGATTATAGTTTATGGGGAAAATAGTTTTATTGTAATCTATGGTATCGATATAAATAACATAATTTTTTTCCCGAAGTAAAATAATGCATCCTTTCCGAGATATTCAATGAGTACGAGAGACACTTTGTACGACCTTGATATACAGTGAGTGGTAAAAGTTACGGAACGGCCAATTATTTCAGCAAATATTAATTTATTAGAAAAATATTTTAAACAAAAAGAGTAGGGTTTAAAGAAATCTATTAGCTGATGATATTTATTTAACCTTGGGATGATCTTGAAAAGCGTGGTCAAGGTCAACATAAAAATCTTAAACGAAAACCCCTATTTTTTATTACATATTCTTATAGCTGAAGTCGAGACCTTTCCAAAACACTATAATAAAGTATTTTTTTTATTAAGTACTTTTGAGTTATAAGACTTGAAAAAATATGTAATTTGCAACATGCAGCTGCATACTTTTTTTAAACAACTATGTGTTTCTTTACACGAATTGATTTGTCTCATTATTCTGTGCATAAAAGTATTAAGATAAGATTACCAAAATTGAATGTTTTACAAGGGTTTAAAGAAATCTATTAGCTGATGATATTTATTTAACCTTGGGATGATCTTGAAAAGCGTGGTCAAGGTCAACATAAAAATCTTAAACGAAAACCCCTATTTTTTATTACATATTCTTATAGCTGAAGTCGAGACCTTTCCAAAACACTATAATAAAGTATTTTTTTTTATTAAGTACTTTTTGAGTTATAAGACTTGAAAAAAAAATATGTAATTTGCAACATGCAGCTGCATACTTTTTTTTTAAACAACTATGTGTTTTCTTTACACGAATTGATTTGTCTCATTATTCTGTGCATAAAAGTATTAAGATAAGATTACCAAAAATTGAATGTTTTACAAGATATTTTGTATTTTATGTCAAAAATACTGTAACTTTCAAGTCTTATAACTGGAAAAGTGTTTATATATAGTGAAAAAATATTTTATTAAAGTGTTTTGAAAACGTCTCGACTTCAGCTACAAAAATATGTAATAAAAAATTGAGGTTTCCATTAAAGATTTTTATGTTGACCTTGACCGGACTTTTCAAGGTCATTCTAAGGTCAAATAAATATCATCAGCTAATAATTTCTTTAAACCCTACTCTTTTTGTTTGAAACATTTTTCCAATAAATCAATATTTTCTGAGATAATTGGTCGTTCCGGAACTTTTCCCACTCACTGTATGTTATCATTGATTAATGTTCTAAAGATTTTAATCAATCCTCGTTACTTATTAATAAATTATCAAATACGGAAATTTATAAAATCTAACATAATTTTTAGACGCCATGTACATTTATTACAACATACTTTTTGTAAATTTTTTTATTTAAATGGTAATTTTTTAAAAATGGTAAATGGTATATTAAATGCGTGCTGATTAGCCGTCATTCATTGTTTATTAAAAAGTTATTAACACTCAATCTTTCTTCAAGAGGTAAGAGTTGAGTAGGATTAGAATTTTTTCGCGGAGGAAGTGTATTGGGAGGAACAGAGCCCTTTCCTCACCCACGCGTTCAATTTACTACATTTAAATAATAATTTAAATTTTAATAATTCTGCGAAGAGTACGTTTAGATAAATGTACATGTTGTCCGAAAATTATATTCTATTTTGTAAACTTCTTAAGATCATAACTTTTTAATAAATAACGTTTGTCGGTTTTAAACCTTTAGAACATTATCTTCAGAACATCAGGACTATGACTTTGATGGCATATGTCAAAATCAAGACGATCGAACCTAACTTTGTTATTTTAAACATTTACCCTATACAGAGTGAGCTATTTTAATCCATCCACGCAAATAACTCCGTAAGTAAGCCAATACAGAAAAATGGTTCAGACAAAAGTTGTTCAGGACAATGGGGGTCACCTATTTGTGTTAGTGACTTTGACCTTGAAGTCAATTTTCAAGGTCATTTAAAGGTCAGAGTTATTTTTTTAAATGGAAACCTCTATTTTTGATTCCAAAATCTAATAGCTGGTGTCAAGAGCTTTTCAAAACACTATAATAAAGTTATTTTTCATTAAGTACTTTTCGAGTTATGAGGCTTGTAAATTACAGTATTTTGACATAAAATACAAAATATCTTGTAAAACATTCAATTTTTGGGAATCTTACCTTA